TTTTTTTTTTTTTTTTTGAAGTCTGCTCAATATTCCGTTGAGCGATATTTGATTATTTTGAATCAATTCATCTGACATGTTATCTTGAATTAACGTGAAATATCATATTCTTGTAATTCGACAAAATATTGCCGAAGTAAAGATATCGCTTAAAATCGAGTAAAAGATAACGCTTAAGCAATACAGCGGTGTGATCGCTATTGATCGATTAAATAGATCTGAATCCAAATGTGGTGAAGAGGGTCAGTGCCTGCTCGAGTCAACGTCCAGGACAGGATAGAGCGGAGAGGAAGAAAGAAGAGTCGCCAGTGATGATTTCATCGCGTTTAAATTCCACCTCGTGGCGGGAATCTCAGGGCCGTATTTTCGATTGTCGGTCAGAGGGATCGAAATCGAAGAACCCAAGTTCCGTCCACAACGGCAATAAATTCTCCCATATGACATGCTACGACATCTTTTGGTCTATTGCGAGCAAATAAGCTTTTCATTGTCGGAATGCTTTCTTCTTCACATTTCTGTGAAGCATGACATTGATGAAAGGGATGCGTGCGTGTTTCTTTCCTCGATAAATTCTCGATAAATCTCCGGATTTTCTCACACTGTAGAACATGTATAATAAATCGCCCTACGCCATTGACATCTACTATTTAGCATATTGCACGTTTGATAAGAATAATAGAATTGATGAAAAAAAATTAATATCTAACATATGCGAATCTTTCTATGTAAGAAATCATAAACGCAACGACTATGCGAAGTGGTGTTGCAAAAGATCTATTTGCACTTTTCTAACTAGGTGATGGATATGTGAGAATAGGAACGTATTTCCAAGAGACAAGAGCAATTTATAATACACATCCCAAAAAAAAATATTTAATTTAAATGAAGAGAGCAATAATAAAAATATTAAAAATATTTATTAATATATTTTAAGACTATGTGAGAATAGAAACTATTTCCAAGAGACAAGAGCAATTTATAATACACATCCCCAAAAAAATATTTAATTTAAATGAAGAGAGCAATATAGATAGATAGAGATATAGATAGATAGCAATAAATATAGATAGAGAATATCATATTAATTCTTCTTATATCTTTAAACTAAGAGTGTGTAGTGTAACTAAATAGCGATTTATATATAAGTAAAACGGCAATGGAGAGTGCTCGGATATGACTTGGCGAGTTACGGAACGGTTGTGCGGCCGGTCCGCAATTATAGCTCAAGTCATTGCCTTGCTCCGCGTGCAAACGTAATTGAAATATCTCGTTCCTAGTGGAATCATTCGACCTGACCTCAAACCGCAAACCGTAAAATTATTCGGGAGAGCGGCATTGCTGCGCATTTCAATCTAAAAGCTCGCCCTACCATTGTCTTGCACGAGAGTGTATCATTAAAACGCATTACTCCCTACATTATGTAATCCCTTTCGCTTCGTTTTTCAACATACCAAACGAGCCGTTTAAACGACAAAATGTTTTTGTCAAAGATTTTTTATAATAGTGCATGAACTTGCAAATCAATATAGCATTGAAAAATACAACGCTCAGCGCGTTTGCCTTTACAATTCTATCTTTCGTTTGCATTTTTATCGCTTGCGAGCTGATTTTGCCTGCGAGAAATGTATTTCCCACCTACGGTGCAGAGCCAGGATTTGCAAGGATTTCCGAGCCGCTTGCAACAATGTCCTAACAATGTCACAGAGATAGGTACATAGGCAGGTATAGTACATGGGTGAAGAATGCAAGCTAGAATTCGGGATGTACGTACTCGACTATGCGAAACGATTGAATATCTCCCTCGCGACGAATTTTACTTTCGCCCTGTGAAAGGAAAAGTTGCAGACGCAGACGCGAGACATTAATCTGCTCCCGTTTTCTATGTGCGTACAATGCGTGCTCTTATTAGACCCTCGTCGGCCTCCCGGTGTGCATTAATATGCAACGCCTCGGGCTTTTACGTGAGTTTTCGAAAAAGAGAAATAGCAAATTCGATTGAATGCACTAGTGCACACTGGTGCACATTAAAGGCTGTCGTGTATAAATTTAAAATAGCACAAGTATAATTAAAACAGTAAGATAATTAATACTACGAGTTATATAATTATGGTTATGTAATACGCGATTAACGGTAATAATATATAACTCGTAGGATTAATTACTTTACTGTTTTAATTATATTTATACTATTATAAATTTACATACAATTTATGTGCACCAGTGTGCATTAGTGCATCCAACCGACTTCGTTAAAAGGTAGCACGAACTTTTTCCCATTTCTGATTCTGGGCGCCCGCGCGCGTCCTTGTATATGTGTACATATACTCGCACGATTCATCTGTATCTCGATCGGGCGTAAATAGTACTAGACGTATGTAGCCAGGAGTTTTTTAAACACACATACGTACAAGGCTGAGCTTGCGGCTTTCCGCGAGTGCTTATTACATATTCAGACTTCACATTTGCGCTGCTGCAACGCGGCGTCTGCTCGTTTCTCATTTACCACTGACCAATCCGAAAAAATCTAATTGGCTCGATATAGAACGAAAACTACTTTTTTATATAGCATATTTTCTAAATTCATCTAATAATCTTTGATTTGATAATATTGCTCTCAGATAAGGCTAGTTTCTTGTTTAGTTTGTATACGAACGTGTGTGTTTGCTTCGTCTTTGATATTTAATTAAATTATAATTTCAACAGCCAGAGTATTTGATTTTTAATTAAAAAGGTAGCGTGTAGAAGTCTCACACACATACATACATATATTTGTCGACAAAAAGTTGAAAATATATTTTAAGCTTTTTTGATAGTAATTTAATCGCCATATGATATAGAAAACCAGGTCTATTGCTGCTAAGTAAAAATTTACAAGCTGCAATTAATTGAATTACCTTCTTAATAATTATTAAGACATTTTTTTCTCTAAAAGAACTAATTTTACATGAACTTTAATTTTATTGCGCTGAGCATAAACACGTGTTTTTATAGGAACATTTTTTTAAATTAGATTAAAAACCCACAAAAAGATTTTTTTTTCGCATATTGAATAAAATTTATGTTAAAGCTTGAGTTTTTTTTACTTGCAGGCGGAGGAGCTGAACACCATCGTTGGCAATGCTTTCCGCATGGCGTACGTGGCGCAGCTTCAGCGCCAACCGATCCTCCAGGATGTAATCTCACCGCGATCGACGCCGTCTTATCGAGACAAACAGGAGCATCGAACGTCGTGGGTACGTTTTAAACATATCAAAACATATTATAATATCTATATAATATATTTAAA